TGAGCGGAAGACTAGGCCGCACGCCCCCACAATTGTCATATCTCATATCTCTTAACTCAACCCATCAATTTTCAATCCTAAGGTCCAACCTTCAACGCTAAAAATACATCCCCAGTACAAAATCTAGCAAGTTGAGCATGTGGCCTTAAAGCAACCTTGAACTCAAAGATAATTCTACGAGCTTTATGATGAAGCCTCTAACTCCATTCTCACTAAAAGGTAGGGCCCCAAATCCCCTCTGACTTACCCTTTATAACTCACCGAAAAGAAAAGAACGCAAAGATAACACCTCAAGCCACCTCCTAGCCTCCCCATTGCCCGGGATTCAAGAGTACTCCTTCCTTAACCCTTGAGGAAAACGTTAACCTTAAGATCAAAATCCTAGATTACCCTAGATTGATCCAAAGCCCTGAATCCTAGACCATTCCCAATCCAGACCCAAACCTAGGAAGCTAGGCCTGATCACATAAGTCTTAGAACCACTACATCAAAACAATATTCACCTACAAAACCCGAGATTTACTTATTCTCATCCCAAATATCGGTTTAAATTCGCTCCAACAACTCCAATTTGAGGGATATTCTCGTAGCTTTGTCTGTGACAATCGTTCACTCATATCTAGTTCATCTATCTCCATGTTGGGTACGTTCGTTCTTTTTTTTTCTCTTTTATTTCGACTAATTTTTTGCTTCATTTCTATTATCATCTTCCTTTACTTTTAACATTTATTTGAATCCCTTTTTAAAAATAGTTAAGGTGTTATAGAAAGCTTAGTATCACCATCTAGGTTGTGTGCTAAGGGTAGTAGTACCATTGCATATTTTTTGTGGGACCTTGGGTGCTTTCCTTCTTCTTCTTTTCTCTTGTGCTTCACCTCTTATTATTTATTTCATCCCTTTTTATTCATTTTTTATGATCATATTCATCTTCTTCAAATATTTATTTGAGTTTCTTTTTTAAAATAGTTAAAGTGTTTTAGAAAACTTGGAATAGACTCCTAGGTGGTTTGCTAAGAGCAGCAATACCCTAACATATTTTTGGCGGGAGTTCTTTATCCTCTGAGTATTCTTCTTTTTATTGTTTTCACTTTTTTTAATTCCTTGTTCATCTATGGTTCCCACATCCTAGGAACGAGGGGGCAAATGCTGCGGATAAACAGACACCAAGTCTAATTCTAAAGCTTATTTACTCTTTTAGGTTAGGAAAAAACAAAGCCACTATTGGAAACTTTATATTTTGAGCAAAACTAAAAAAAACACAAAAAAATGTGGCAAATGGGAAATATTTTAAGAAATTAAATCATATGTACGTTAATTCTTGTTAAAAGATTTCATGCTCTCGAGGGAGCATATTGTCTATTTACTCCCTTGTGCAAAACCTAATCTAGGAGCATTTTTAGGACGCCGAATTTTTGAGATGTAAAGTCTTCAACCCATATGCTATACTAAAAAAATAAAAAATTGAAAATTGCATCTATATAAGCATAAAAAAAAAAAAAAAAAAAAACCCTTAAGATTGAATAGAAACCATACAATATTTTAAGGGTGCAACCTAAGTTTTAGAAAACTAAAAATTCAAATATTTATGTTTTGAAAATAATCATCTACTAACTCTTAGGTAGTTCTGTTTACGATGCAAATCGGAGAGATTTTCAAAGGAATATCCCTTTAATATGTACTACAAACTGATTTTAAAAATGATAGAGAGTGGGAAAAATCAAATTTTGATCTGAGGCCAGATCTATTAAAAAATGAATAGATCCACTCTCAGATCAGTGGCAGAGCCAGCATAGATCCAAAAAACATGAAATATTGAATGAAATATGAATAAAAACCTAGATCTAACAAAATAACTGAAAAATAAAAAGAAAGATGATGAGAAATCCAAAAGCACAAAATATTGAATGAATAAGAATAAAAACCTAGATCTAACAAAATAACTGAAAAATAAAGGAAAAGATGATGAGAAAAATATCTGGCTGAGCCAGTTGGACCGACAAACCCGAGGCCTCGCCCGTGATCGTATGTCATATTTGTCTCTCTTCATGTTTTGACCAGGCATTGCCTTGGTTGAACTAGAGTTTTGCTAATTTAGGCTAAAAGTTGGTTTCGGGGGGGAGGGGGCTAGAGCTTAAGATTGCTTATCTAGATCTAAGTTTTCTCACGGTTTTCCTCCTAAGCACTCTCTATCTCTTAGATTTCCTTACCTATGTGTTCACAAAGTCTCACCCTAAATGGGTCACAAAATGTACTTATATAAATGTTCAAATCATACTGGAATGGATATTACCAATTTTAAACAAATTTGCTATCCAAATTTGCATTTGGGGGGGAGGGGGGGTTAAAGGGAGACCAAATCTAACCAAAATTAGCAGTTGCATTTTTGTGATATTGCCTACAAAAAGTCAGATAAAAATAAGTTGTTTTGCTATTTTTACTTCATTTATTACTAAAACAATGGTCTTGCAGGATTTTAGATCACAGGATATGGATCACGGACTATGATGGTCTATGGTTCGGGAGTTTACTGGGATAGTGTGGTCCTAAGGGTTCAAGAGTATTACAGAATTTGCCAGTTTTAAAAATGGGGTGTCTATAGTTACCCCTCTTTGACACTCCCTGTCCTGCGAGGGATAGGTGAGTGGCAAAGAAGTAGACACTCTTTGGCGTTCCCTGTCCTTCAAGGGATTTTCAGATTTTCAAATTATTAAACTTGACATTTTTCTTATTCCCTTAAGGTTTCCTAAGGTCTTCTATAGGTTTTTCTTGCTTAGAAAAAGTTTGCCAAGTCAATTATGAAGAGAGAGATGAGGCGACAACACGATAATCATCATATACAGGTGTCCAAGCTCCTTCGTTTTTAAAAATCTTTTTAGAAATTTTGAAAACAAGGTAGGAATTTTGAAATAAAACCTGCAGTTTTGGACAGGTCACGATTTTAACAAAGAAATCAATTTTTTTGAAAACACAAGACATCTAATAAAAAATTTTAAATGAGAAAGATATTTTGAAAAACAAATTTTTAGTTAGCAGTTTTAACTTTTGAAACCATAGAGTCCTCTAAGCAGTTTAACGTCATATAGCGATGGACAGGGTAGTTGGCAGTTATACTCAAACAACCATGAAGTGTTTTTTAAAAGTAAAGTTTTGAAATGAAAATTTTAAGATTATTTTTTTTTTTATTCTTTCGTATTTTTTGGATCGATGCTGCCCTGCCACTGATCTGAGAGCTGATCTATTTGTTTTTTAATAAATCTGGCATCACATCAGAATTTGATTTTCCCCACTCTCTATCACTCTTTTTAAAATCCGTTTGTGGTATAGATCTGAGGGATCTTTCGTTGAAGATCTCTTCGATTTGCATCGTAAACAAGTTCCGAAAGTTTTGGATAAAAAACATCTTCCCAAATTAGTCTTCTGCATGAGGTAGTGAGTGTATAGCATGCTCATGCGGGAGCGTTAGTGTATGAGTTTTTGCCCTTTTAATTGCCTTCATGAAACTAATATTTAAAGAAAAAAAAAGGAAAAGAAAAAAAAAATTGCCTTCATGAATCAAACCAAAAGTTCGATATACATTTATATGAGTCCATCGACTCATGTTTAGATGTGCGTCCTCTCTTTATGATCCATTTTTTAGACGGATTTTGAACTCAATTGTTTAGGAATATCCAAATCTCTAACATGAGGATCATTAATATGTAAAAATAAAAATTTTGCACACACAGTCTCTTCATCTCAATAATTAATCCCCCAAAAAAACAAAAATTCAATTTGAACCTTAGATATGGTCAAAATGAGTCCCCTCAAAAAATGAATATAGACAATTCATTTTGTGAATTTCAAGATCTTAGCATTTATAACTCAAACTATTTTTTTCCTTTTTTGATATTGTTTATTTAATGATAATAAAGCCATACAAAAAAATTAGAAATGAAAAAAAATCCTTTTAACATCTAGATCTAAGCATCTCACCAAAATGAATGGCCTATGTTAATTGAGCTAAAACAATACTTTATAGGTTATGTTTTCAATTTTTTCTTTTTTTTTTGTGATTGATCATTATAATGAAAAGAGTGTATATTTCAAAGTTTGGATCAAATAAATGACCATAAGATAGTTTCTTAAAGTTGTTGCATCATATTACTATATAACAATTACATGAAATCATTGCTCTTAGTTTTATTCTTTTGATGGGACCATCATGTTTTTGTGTCTTTTAAGATAGATGATTGGTGCGTCAATGGATGTTATCGTAGAAAAGCATCCCTGAATGCATAAAATACTTTTCCATAATTAAGAGGGTAGAGTTTATTATAAAAGTAATGATACTATGAGACCCTCCCACACCTATGTGAGTAGGATCCTAAAGAATCATCATTAAATTTTGATACAGGTCTCTAAAAAAAGTTATCAATAAGTCCATTCACCTAAGCTCCACACCGATGTGATAACTTTTTTAGAGAACTGTGTAAAAATTTAATAATGATTTTTTGGGGATCTACTCACATAGGTATCGGAGGGTCTTATAGTGTCATTACTCTTATTATAAACTGCAACTTTAATCATAAAGGTAAGATTGTAGGGTTTATGCTACCTATTTTAGTTGAATGATGAAAATTTTACGTTGTTCTTTTATAAGTTTCTCAAAATAAGTGATTTTTTTTTTGGGTAAGTACAAAACAAGTGATGTGCGTTAAAATAATATCAAATCAAGGGCAATGGACCTAGACCTTACGACCAAGGACCGAGGAGTAGAACTCATCTGGGTTCGGGTACAGGTCCTAAAATTGGACCCAACATGTCCAAATCTTCGACCAAAACACTATTCCTTTCCAGGTCCTCACTATATTTTCGGGTTATGTCTGGCCCGGCCCGCTGCCTCCCCAAATTAGATAGTGCCAAATCAAGACCGTCCATATGGAATAGAGGGAGTAGATTGCGACCTTCTATAACTTTTTTTTTCTTTTTCCGTAATTTTAAACTGAAATCAGGAAGTTTTGGAAGTTGTTGAAGACTCGTACTGGTTATGGCTCCCCTTGCACGCTTTACACTAGGGTCTCTCTGGTCGTGGAGGCCCTTAATGGCGGCCTTTGAGATCAGAAGATGCTTTCGATCAAGAGCAGCACTTGACGCCCTAACAATGGCGATCAAAGAAGAAGCTCCCAATCTCATTCTTTACAATTACCCTTCTTTCTCTGGAGCTTTTGCAGCTCTCTTTGCACACCTCTATCATTCAAGGATGGGCCTTCCTTACCTCATTTTGCCCTATTCCCAAGTGGAGCCTTTCAGGTAGAGCAGTACTTATTGTATGTGATTCTCCAGTCTAGTCCTTTTTTCTTGGAATCTTCTTGGTCTTGTTCATGTTCTTATTCTTCTCCTTTTTGCGTCTTTTTAGTTCTTTTGAAAATTAAAAATTTTCAGCGTTTTTCTTTTGATAATTCGTGTTTGCAATAACCAGAAAATCTGAAATTCAATTGAAGCAGAGGTGGGAGATTTTCTTGTTTATTATTTAATATGGCATATTTTGATAGAGTGGTGTGGAGATATCATATAATCTCCAGCGTCTGGATAGTTTACAGTCTTTTTTATCAGAGTCCTTTAAAATGATTCAAAATGCTGAAAATTTGGGTTAATTTTTTAGCTTGAATTTTCTTATGGGATCAATGTCTACTTTTATAGTTTTATTCGGTTGCATTTGGTGTTCGACAAATATAGAGCATATGAATTGGGAAGGAAAACACTGCACAATAATGACTCGCATATTTGCTAACAAATTTAAAAATTGTGAAGAATTAGTTATTTTCTGACAAAATTACAACGATAATATTCCCGTCGATTTCTATAGTTGGGTTCTATGTACCTCTTATTTGCTTCCATATCAAACTAAAGGCCAATGTTCCAAAAAAGGCCGGGCAGCGCCTACGTGCCCGGGGGGTCGAGTTTATCGGAATCATCTCCCTCCTTCTGCCTGTACTGAATCTGCCTCTGCTTCCTCCTTTTCCTCCTCCACCCTTGTCCTTTGTGAAGAAGATCTAGTTGCCCTGGAGGGTCGGCTGTTATCCTTGAGGCCACATGATCATATCCCATGTTAATACTTTATGCCCCTCGACCTCATCATCATCAACCAACCACTCTGTGGCATTATCCATGTTTTCTGATATGTGGTTGTCTCTCCTATCTCTCTTAGTAAACCTCTCCTTTAAGTATCAATTGTACTTCATATGAACTAGGTCATTGAGCCTCTTTGATTCAAACAAGTTTTTTTTCTTTTTTTGGATCTAATAAAATCAAATAAAACTAATTAATACTATAAATTTACAATTGATATAGTAATTAGTAATTACTAATTAATAACTAGTAACTACTACGAAATAGTAAATTATCATCATCATCATCATTTTAGCCTTTTCCCAATTAATTGGGGTCGGCTACATGAATCTTGGTTTTTCATTCTACTCTATTAAAGTTCATATCCTCAGTTTGGACTACTTCTAACCATGTCATTTTGGGCCTACCCCTTACTTTTTTTTAGTCCTTCCACTTGAACTAACTCGCATCTCCTAATAGATGTTGTACTTAGTCGGCGCCGTATATGGCCAACCCACCTAAGTCTACTCTCTCTCATTTTATCGTATTCTCTCTCATTTTATCGTCTATTGGTGCTACGCCTAAATTCTCTCGAATAGATTCATTTAGAATTCTATCCCTTCTTGTCTTGCCACTCATCCATCTCAACATCCTCTCTCAACATTCTCATTTTCGCTACACTCATTCTTTGGGTATATTGTTTTTTGTCCGCTCATCATTCTGCCACATAGATCAAAACTGGTCTCACCATTGTCTTATATAATTTGCCCTTCAGCCTCATTGGTATACGACGATCAATCTTAACTACTTCCTCGTCTCTACTCCTATTATTACTAAACTTACACTCCATATACTCTGTCTTAGTTCGACGAATTTTAAATCCTTTGGATTCTAGAGCATCCCTCAAAAGTTCTAACTTTGTGTTGACACCATTTTGGGTCTCATCAATCAAAACTATTTTATCTGCGAACAATATGCACTACGGTACTTCATCTTGTAGATGCCTAGTTAAGTCGTCCATAACTAAAACAAAGAGGTGCGGGCTCCATGTTGACCCTTAATGTAGACTTATTGTCACTGAAAACTCACTTGTCTCTCTACTAGTTATTCGTACACTAGTCACCGCTCCATCGTACATATCTCTCACCAAGTCAATGTAGTGGCTAGAGACGCCTTTCTTTTCCAACACCCGCCAAATCAAATCTCGAAGTACTCTATCATAAGCTTTCTCTAAATCAATAAAGACCATGTGGAGGTATTTTCCCTTTGCCCTAAACTTCTCAATCCATTGCTTAAGTAGGAAAATAACCTCAGTTGTTGACCTTCCTGGCATTAAACCAAATTGATTTTCAGATACACTCGTTTCATGCCTTAGTTGTTGCTCAAATACTCTCTCCCAGAGCTTCATAGTATGTCTTATAAGCTTGATCCTTGGATAGTTTGCACAATTATGTATTTTTCCTTTGTTCTTGTAAATAGGTTCCACAATATTTTTCCTCCATTCGTCCAACATTTTCATTATTCTCAACACCTTGTTGAACAACTTCGTCAGCTAGTCAATGCCAATTTCTCCCATGCGCTTCTAAACCTCTATCGGAATGCCATCTGGTCCTAAAGCCATTCCTATCTTCATCATTTTCAAGGTTTCTTTCACTTACGACATCCTAATCCTACAAATGTATCTATGACCTCCCTCGTCGCTTGTACCAACAGTCCCTTCTACTACTATGTTCCCATTATGTTCGTCATTTAATAATTTTAAAAACAAACTGTCCACCTTTCGTTGACCCCATCATCCTTCACCAACCCTTTGATCCTCACTCTTAATGCATTTAATATGGTTTAGATCGCTATACTTTTTCTTTCTTATTTTTGCTAATTTGAAGATATCTTTTTCACCTTCTCTTATTCCTAGTTTATTGTATAAATTATCATATGCCTTAAGTTTAACTGTACTTATTATTTGTTTAGCATTTTTCTTAGCATTTTTATATTCTTCTAAATTCTGATCGCTTCTATTACACTGCCAAGTTTTATAACATGATCGTTTTTCGCTAATGGCTTTCTGAACCTGATCATTCCACCACCAAGTTTCCTTATCGAAGTTTCTTTTCCCTCAAGATTCTCCTAAAACTTCTTTTGCCACTTTCTTGAGACATTCAACTATCTCATTCCATATTACATTGATATCATGTTCAGAGTTCTATTTTCTTTCTTCAACTAATTTATCCCTGAATAAATCTATTTTCTCATTTTTTAAATTTCACTACCTAGTTCTTGGACGCCCATTACTTTCACCCCATGACTTGATGCAGACGTCCATGACCACGAGCCTATGTTGGGTCGTCAAACTCTCCCCTAGGATAACCTTGTTGTCTTTACATAATGGTCGATCTACCTTCTTAACTAGGAAGAGGTCTATCTGGCTTTTATGTGTTCTACTTTTATAGATTATTAAATGTTCATCTCGCTTTTTAAAGTTAGTGTTTACTATTGCTAGGTCGTAGACCATAGCAAAATCTAGAATAGTCTCACCCATCTTATTTCTTTCCCCAAAATCATATCCCCCATGTACCCTTTCATATCCTCTATTATCCTTCCCTACATGACCGTTTAGGTCTCCACCTAAAAAGGTCCTCCCTCCATTTGGTATATCTTGGACTATTCCATCTGTCCTCCCAAAATTGTCTCTTAATTCTATCATCTAGTCTTACTTATGGTGCATAAGTGCTAATTACGTTAATTATCTCTTCTCCTAATACGAGTTTAATTAATAAGAGCCTATCACCTTTTTTTTTGACATTAACTACTTTATCTTTTAAATTTTTATCTACTATTATGCCTACGCCATTTCTATTATTATCCTTTCCTGTATACCATTGTTTATACCCGTCTATTTCTTTTGTTTTTTCTCCTTTCCATTTAGTTTCCTTAAGACAACCGATGTTTACTCTCCTTTGTCTCATTGTATTCACTAACTCCATACTCTTACCTGTAAGCATTCCTACGTTCCATGTGGCTAAACGAATCCTATTCTCTTAGACTCGATTCTTTACACGCGCTCTTCCAGAGTGTGGAGGGAACCCTTGCCTATTTTTCACTGCAACTGGACGGTGTTGCGGTGTGTCGCTTTTGGGGTACAGCCTAGCGACCCCTTGTTCATTTTTCACTATACCTAGGTTCCGATATAGTACGTCGCTTCTGGAGAACGCTTCAGCATAAGCAGATACTATAAGTTTATCAGGATTTATGATAGGTTTTAGTAAAATTTTATGTGCCTACCTAACACAACCATGCCCTTTTACCCGGGCTTAGGATGGTTAAGGGAAAGTTTAAGGTCATCACCCTTCTTAGACCAATAAAATAGTAAACTATAGACTAATAAATTAAACTAAATTACAATCTCAAAAGTACTCCAATTTTGGTCACAGCTCACCAATTGGCTCCAAATTGATTATGAATTACGATTATATATGAAATATAAGAAAAACAACGAACAACATGAAACTTGAACTTGAGGACTGAGTTAAGTATATTATTATCTGGATCAATTTTGGTCCTTTGTCTTACCACCATTGGACTCCCAAAAGACTTCAATATGCACTTGTAATTTATTAGCTCATCGGCACATATAATGTCTTGGTATCTTGATTAGGGACTAGCACATCCAGACACTTATTAAATCCAATCATAATTGTGTTATTTTTGTGTATGTCCCTATTAACATAATGAAAGGCTAAGTTCAAATAATAACCAGCTGCATGCAATGGTCGATGTAGCTGCCTATTTCACTTCTTATCAATAATCTTCCAAATTGGTTCATAATGGCTTACATCATCATCCAAATTGCAGGTTCTCTCTCTCTTGCAACTTTCCTTGATTCATACATGTAGCCCATGGAAGGCTTGTCACTGTCAACTATACGAAGGACTTTGACAAGAGAAAACAATACCTTAAGTGTGTCATTCACCCCTCGCCAGAAAATCTTAGATGAGACAATAGCTCTCACCTTCTTCCCTTTCTGATCCTTGGCCCACTTGCATGCTCTCCAATCATCAGAGGCAAACATTAGCTTCAATTGGACTCTCCTCAAATGTATGCTTTCTAGACATAGATACTAGGTAGCAAATCGTGTAACCCTTGGCCCCACTATCTCCTTCTTCTTTATAAATTTGCGCATGATGCTGAGGGTGAGTGTGTGGCTATGAATAAAAGCCATAACTCTTTATTGAACCTGCACTCAAACTGCCAATAGCCTCAAGCATGAGGTTTATATAGTGTGCTGCGCATAGTGTCCAAAAGATATTAGGGTAGGTTATATGCAAAAAATTAGCAGCAACAATATTAGGATCAGCATTATCGTCAACAACTTGTACAATATGCTGCTACCCAGCCTCCTTGATGCCTTTCTCCATCACTTTAAATATGTAATGGGCATCATGGCTATCATTAGAGGCATCGATAGATCTAAAACAAAGTCTCTAAAGGACAATTAACCAACAAATTCATCTGAGTTCTTCTCTTCTTATCACGCCAAGTATCAGTCATAATAAAAACCCCATCCTGAGCCCATGGATCTTTATGTGATTACAATCTCCCTCGTAACATTCACCTCTTTTTTCATAAGAGGCTTGAAAAGCTCATATGGGGTTGGAGGTTTTAGCCCGGGCCCAAATTGGCCAATTGTCTCTAACAAGGTGTAGAAGCTATTTAAGCGAGCGGTATTGAAAGTAATGCGCGCCTCGTAAAACCACCTAGCAATATATTGTATGGTTCTCTCTCTCTTTCACTTCCTGCTATTATCAATAGTTGTTTGCTTCTTTGTTTTCTCACTTTCAACCTCAGGGTCTAATCAGGGCAAAAAAGAATCCATAGGCCCCCTAAACAAAGGCGTCATAGGTCCCCCCACCCCTAAAACCAACAACAACTCCCTTTCCTTTACCCCTAGTCTCGGATATAGCAAGCTGCTCCACCTCTTCACACCCCTCATCACTATCATCATCATCATTATAATTAAGACGAACCCTATGCATAGCAGATTAGCTCTACTATGCATGCCTCTCTTTCCTCCCTAATTGCAACATGAACTTTTTTACACGGGGCAACATCCCCCTAATCCTGATAAGATGTTTCTTGAACCAATTCATGCCCCCATTTGTATCCTTCTCACAATAGTTGTATCTTATGCAATTTTTATCTAAAGGATTCGGGTTATAGACATATTTCCGACTCAAATCACCTCTTTTATTAGATCCTGAAGAAGACATCTCAAATTAATCTGAGCAATCTAAAAACAATTTTTTTTCACTAACCTTGATTGCGTGATTTTCAAACTTCCACCTTTGAGATGGTTTTTAATTTTAAAATCTTCTAAAAAAACCCTCTAATAGTCCTAAAATTTCCCAAAAGTAAATCTAAACTCAAAGGGTGATGTTTGGATCGATTTCTCAAAACTTTGACAAACCCTTTGATCCTATAGAAATCACAAAATCCCAATTTTTTGAAGTTTTTCTCTCTGTAGAAAAGGGGGTTTAGGTTCATATGCAATCTAAACCCCCTTTTTAGAATCTTAATTTTTTTTTCTAAAAAAAAAAAAATACTACACCAGAGGCATCTGGGTGGCACCCTAGGGCTTGGCGTTGGGCGTCCTCCTAGGCGGGGTCTCAGGCGCCTATGCAATCACTCGGGGACTCCCTGCCTAGGCTTGGGCGATGTGCCCAGGCCCCTCAGCCCGCCTTTTGGAACGCTGCTGAAGGCATTTGTGGTCATCATTAAAGATAGTGCGATTTTGATCAAGTGCGATTTTGATTATGCAATTTTATGGAATGAAGGCAGATTCAGTCCTGGACCAAGCCGAGTTACATGGGCAAGTCTGAGTAAGCTCATGTCCATCATGGGATCGGGAAAAATAAAAACTTGGGAAAAATATTGAAAAAATATGAAATTAGTAATTAACATTTTTTATGTAATGAAGCCAAATTAACATGAAAATTAGAAAATTTATGCCCTATGAGATCCAAGACTTTTTTTTGGTTTATTAGAAAAATCCGAATGGAAGAATAATAAAATCCTTTTTTTTTTTTTAATGGAGGATTAAGCTTATTTATGGATCAAGAACACGAAGATGGTCCTATGCTTTGAATTTCATCGAAGGCCGGCAACCGGAATCGAAGATATCAAAGTTTTAAAAAATCGGGCAAATGAATCCCCAATTTTTGATACTTGAAATGCAAGAAATCAGAGTGTTTTTATCATATTAATGCTTCTATTTTGTAGATCTAGGAACCTTGATCTTGAATTTGAGATCAACTGGAATAATTTTAGGTCATGAGGGGTATTTTTTGGCAAAAATGGGATCCCGATATAGTTTAAAATGAACAGAACTCGGACAAGTACCATTCACCTCCCCATGTTCCTGGGGCATTGGGGGAAGGGGGGGGGGGGGCGGGGGTTGGGGAGGGGTGAGTGGGTGGAAGGGAGGTTCTTGGGAACTCATCTAGGCCGACTCGGCTGAGTTGCTGAACACTTTAAATGTTCAGTCATAATGAAGTACTTCAAGTATAAAATATGGTTGATTTAATTATTTTAGTTTTCTTACGTTTAGTTTTATGCAATGGTCTGTACTTGAGGAACCATCTTTTCTCTTCCAATGCAAAGGATTTGGGCATGAGGATCAAACCCTGTACAAGAAATTGTATTACTCATGATTGCTTTGTTTTCCATTTTGAAGTGATTGATAATGTGACTTGCCTTTTTCCATCCATTCTGAAGTGGTCAATGTAATTTTTTTTTTAAAATTATTAATGGGTGTTTTCAATAAAAAGAAATTCGTGTGAGGGTTTATTCATGTGTATTACTTAGAGATCAAAAAGGTTTTGTGCCTCCATGCTGTGCCTAGCTCTTTTATTTGACTTCATACTTATAGAAATCAGGCTCTCATTATTTTAAGCCTTTTTCCTTTTTTAGATTGTTCAGAAAATTATTTGATGGATAGTTATTCTTCCTTTTATGAATAAGTTTTAGTTTTCAAGGAAAAGCATGCCTCAAGTTTTATCAGATGCTACTTTTCTCCTTTTAGTTTCGGAGTGTGCTACTTTATGTACAACTGAATATAGTTACAAATGGTGGAAACCTAGAGTGATGTTTTAGGTTTGTTGTGTAGATTGGAGTTATCTTGGAAATAAAAAAATACAAAATCCCAAAGAAGAGTGCCATTGATCTGGGTTGTCAGGGTGGCGAAGCTACAACTTGATGTCAAGGGTTCCATTCCTCCCCTGTTAACATGTCAAGAAAAGTAAAAGAAGTAACTTCAAGTTGTTTAATCTATAGGCTAGCTGCTTGAGCTCATCCTGCTCATGGAATGCATTAGCTATAATTTCTATTTCTTTTTCTTTTTCCTTTTTTTTGTTATAGTCAATATATATTTAAAGTTTATTGCTGAGACATGCATATGGATTTTACTTCTGTAAAATCTCCAAGCTGTGATATTGTTAAGTTGTTATTTGCTTGGCTCCTCAGTGGGGAGAAATGGATCATTTGATATTGAAAATTGTTACTTGATCTTACTTGTTCTTGCATCAAATGAATATATCCTTGTATGTATAATTTTCTTTCAGGATTGAAGATTTTAACATGAAAGGTGTTACTACTTGTTATCTCCTTGATTTTGTTGGACCTAAAGGCTTTGCTGTAAAGCTCTCACAAGTATCACATGGGTAATTGACTTTGATGCATTTATATTTCTTTCTTCGTTTGGTTGTTCTGAAAACTATTGGTCACTCTCCAATCTATAAAAGATAAAATATGGGTTCCTTACTTCCTTATAGCATGTGCCCTGGGGCTGAATTTGACATAAAATTTTTTAGGTTTGATGGTTCATCAAAGGAATTCTTTCTTTATGTTGTAATAGGTTCAAGTGGCAAATCTTCTGCACATATGAACAAAACTCTCATATGTTTTGAATCAATTGATACATGTGGAGAACATTTTCATTAGTATCCCAATCACCTATGCAGAAATATAGTTGCCAAAAGCTTTGTAAACTAAGGTCAACAAATATGACATAATAGTCTCTATTCACTTGATTTATCCTTGAAATATATGCCCTAAACCCTCCTCCTGCAGACTACATAAAAACAATTGTTAGAAACTCTCCTGCACATGTAAGTCTTGTTGCGCGATGTAGTTTAAAGTAAAGAACATATAGATAAAGTTGCACTATATGTGGTATAGGCTATATGTTTATGATGACCCCCAAAGAAAGGTTGTTCTGATGGATTCTCAGCCTAGCTAGGGACCTTTTCGTCTAATCCAATGGCGTGAGCATCCTGTCATTGAGCTTGCTCCATGATATTGATGCCAATGTGAGTCACCTTGATGCCAATGACATTAAGAGAGTCGCCTACCGCCACCCAATGGCTGAGAAAATTACTTTGAGATACATATTTGAGTTTCAGCAATGCATGTTGGATTAGCTGATATGAGTTGATTTTGATGTAATAAATATGCATACTGACTGATCCCATATGTATTGTTGAACTCTAATATATAGTTTTGCTAAATCAAGTTACAAAAACTCTTACATGAGCCAGTTGAGCATTTGAGAGGACAGGGCTTGCCTTTGATTAGAAAAATTTGCTAGCATGTTAATGTAAGAGGAGAATAGGTTCTCCTTGTTGGAAACAGGTGATTAAGTCCCTTATGCGCATCCATATATACAAGTAGCTGTAAGAAAACAAAAAGCTTCGCTTTCTGTGATCCCTATGTTCCTCCCCTGACATAAGTCTGTCCCTTTTGGGGTTAAAAAATGACCAAACTAACCCCAAACCAAGGGCAATTAGTGAGATTGACAATTTTGGGACTTCACTAAGGGTGATTGCCCTGCATGTAGGGTATATTCTGTAGGTGATTCCTTGACATTCTCTCATGAAGCAACCCTAGTTATGTAGGGCTCGGAACACTTGGGCCTTGCCCAGGTCCATAGAGGCCTAACACTACCCAAAGGGGCCATGGCCCAGATCTGGTTTGGGGGACCTTGGCTACCTGGCTTGGCCCTGGTCTTGTTTGAGAGAGGATAGTCTACTGAAATTTTAAAAAAGGGGCCGAGGTCGACCAACCCGGGCCCAACCCTGGGCCAAAATTTTGTGGCCTTAGCCATGGTTTTTCAAGGCTGGGCAATCGAACTACGCGCGGCTATCTGGCCCATTACTAGCCTCTACAATTACGAAAAAAATGGGCCCGTCTTACCTAATGTAAGCGATTGCCTTTGCTAACAAAATATTTTACACCATGGTATTTTGATTGTACATTTTCTACCTTGTGTTCAATTTTGATTTTCTTGGCTTACTTCAAATATCTTTGCAGCTGTCTACTAATTCACCTCTTTTTTTTTGTTTTTAATCTTTTTTATCTTATGGAATAAAATATTCTGCAAAATTCTTCTCAAAAGCAGGTTTTCAGCAAACTCTTTTTGAATCTGAATTTTTCATCATAAGGAAATGTTCAAAAACTCGTGTGAGTCAACTCAGACTCGGGTGAGTTACTTGAGCTCGGCTAGCTACCGAGCCTCGAACCGGGTACTATACAAACTTGCTTGAGTATTGTATGCAAATGTGGGCTGACTCGCCTCAGTTTGGACTTTACTTTCATGAGTCATTATAGGAGTCGCGCACTTCTAAGTGTGAGGAAGCTTCGAGGCATCATTTCACACCGAGCTTGAAGATTGGGGATTGGCGTCGAAATTTTAGATTTTTTTTTTTCAATTTTACATCCATAAAATTGATTTACTTAAACTAATAGTAAAATTTTTGTTTTCATTTTTTATATTTTTTTGGATTCTGTAATATTTTTTGACTTTTAATGAATTTTTCTTCTTGTTCAAAATTTTTTCGTGATTGTTTTCATTTTTATGCCCTTTGTATGGCTCGGGCTGGACTAGAATGAGTCCACTCAGACTTGCCCAAGTCACTTGGCTTAGCAAGGTGCTGAGCACCTTGCCCGAACTGTGTTTTAGAACACTGCTCGTAATCGAGCACAAGCTGAGCCTATTCTTGACTAAGATATCTTTATGAAAATAATAGAGGTGTTTGTAACCGTTTGGCTTGCAAGTCTTTATGGAAATGCCTTTTCCGAGCTAGCAAACTATCCTCCTAATGGTTTGCATGGCCCTTGGCTTTGAAGTATGCATTTGTCTCAGATAGTATTGTAATTGGGTGTCGATAATTCATGAGAAAGGAGAGATTGAGTAAGATTTGCTCATAGGATTAGAACTGGGTGGACGAAGTGGAGAGGTGCTTCTAGAGTCTTCTGTGATCGTTACATACTAATGAAACTAAAGGGAAAGTTTTATAGGATAGCTGTAAGAGCGGCCATATTTTATGGGACAGAATGTTGGGCGGTCAAGAAATAACATATCAAAGGAAGAGTGGCAAGAAAATAAAGGATAGAATTTGGAATGGATACATACGAGTGAACTTAGGGGTGTCTCCGATACGCGATAAATTGAGGGAAAGTAGACTTAGGTGGGCTGGCCACATGCAGCGTAGACTTAATACAACACCGGTCAGGTTGGGCGATTTGGTACAAGTAGAAGACTCTAAAAGGGCAAGGGAAGGCCCAAAAGGACATGGATGGAAATAATGAGAAGAGATATGATGACTTATGATCTGACTAAGGGTATGACCCTAGATAGAGTAGAATGACACAATAACGCTCGTGTAGCCGATCCAAAATAAATGGGATAAGGCTTAAATGATGATGATTATGATGATGATAAATATATTTATTATGCTTAGGAATAAATTGACTCAAATAAAATTTGACAATAACAACTCATTTTTATACTTGAGCCTTCTCATATATAAGTTCTTCCCAATAATATACTAAAGTTATTTACTTGATCATGCATTACAAAAATGATAAGAAAGGATATTAAATGATATATGAGTCTTGCCCTTTACTTCACATAGCCCCCCTTCTTTTTTTTTTAAAAAAGAAGGCAAATTTATCGAAAATGCGCCTAACTTTGCCACATCTTTTGCTAGGATTATGATATCTGAAGTGAAATAAGGTTTGAGAAGGATGAAGATAGAAAAGGCTTCAGGACCAGATGGTATTCTGATAGAGGTCTGAATGTCCGTGGAAGAGATTAGCATATTCCGGCTGACCAAGCTGTTCAACAAGATGGTGAGAACTAGGAAAATGCCAGATGAATGAAAACTCAAGTATATAAAAGGACATTCAGAACTATACGAACTATCGAGGGATCAAATTTATGAGCCATACTATGAAGTTGTGGGAAAGAGTGATTGAGTAACGATTAAGACATAAAACAAGTGTATCAGAAATTCAGTTCGGTTTTATGTCAGGGAAGTCAACAATTGAGGTTATTTTCCTATTTAGGCAACTGATTGAGAAGTTTATTGAGAAAGGAAGAGACCTCCACATGGTCTTTATTGATTTAGAGAAAGCATACAATAAGGTACCTAGAGAGCTAAGTTGGTGGGTGTTAGAAAAAAAAATTGTCTTTAGAGGATATATCAACATGGTGAAAGATATATACGAGGGAGCGCTACCTAGTGTGAGGACACCTAGTGGAGAGACAAGTGAATTTTCAGTAACAGACCTACATCAGGGGTTAGTGTTGAGCCTATATCTTTTTGTTTTGGTTATGGACGAGTTGACTAGGCATCTACAGGATGAAGTAATGTGGTGCATGTTGTTTGCAGATGACATAGTTTTGATTGATGAGACTAGATGTGGCCTCAACAAAAAATTAAAGCTTTGGAGGGATGCTTTAGATTCTAAAGGGTTTAAAATTTTCGGACTAAGACAAAGTATATGAAATGCATGTTTAGTGATAATAGGAGTAGAAACGAGGAAGTTAAGATTGATAACCAAGCAATACCTAAAAGAGAATATCTTTGATACTTTGGATTGATAATCAAGGAGAATGGAGAGATTGAGGATAATGCAATGTTTTAAAATGCAGCTGTGTCGTGCCTTATGTAGCTGCATCATGTACTATGCGGCCTGGGGCGCAGCAATGCTGCGCCTCAGGTTGATATGCACTTTTTAGGGCGTACACTGTCTATCTCATGAGCAAAAATAATGCCCATGAGCATGGGCAGTAAGGTAATTTTCCCCAAGAAAGGGGAGAAAGAATGCGCCATTATATATGGTGCATCCATATGTGGGCGCATCCCGGTGCATTTGCGCTCGCTTACATTGCCTATGCTCATGGGGCAAAATAATGCTGACGAGCATATGTAGTAAGGTAATTTTCCCCAGAAAAGGGGGAGAGCGTATTAGGGTGTACAAACACCTCCCCCCTCCCCCAAAACCCAAAAAATAGCCACGGTGGTGGGTATTTTATCATAAAAAATAGAAAAAAATTTGGGAAAATGTTTTTTTGTTTGAAGTCATCGGATTGCTTTGGATCTTGGTTGGGTTGTCGATTGAGATTAGCATGGGCATTGATTTGAAGAAATTTAACTTAGATTTGTCAACACATTGAGGGTTGCAAGGACCAAGAAGATATCATTTTTTTTTTCACAATTAATTGGAAGTTTTCATTTCCCAACACTTTTGTTTTGGGCAATGTCTTCACAATCTTTGAGTAACAAGGATCAGGCTTGGAAATATGCAAAACTCAAAAAATTCAAAAGATTGAAATTGTATTATTTGTACTCTTTGTGGAAATACTCATATGGGGGGTATTTCTTGAGAAAAAGAACACTTAGCCTGCATTACAAGGAATGACAAATGATTTGACTTAGGAAATTGTGATTATGGTTTTTGGATGTTTATAATAATATGATGTCTCCTATAGTCTTCTATAAATTTACTTTCAAGTTTCTGGTTTCTACTTTCTAATGTCTTTTATCAGGGGATTCAAAGTCTCTGATAACTGATAATATCGGGGTTAATGAATAACTTAGATACCTAATATCACATAAATCACCTCCATCTTTTTTCATACATTAACCTATTTTTTGAGATTTTTTGGAATTTTTTATATTTATAGATTGCATTGGGCTGATGAGGCTACATTTGGACCGCATTGAGCCGCATCGTCGCATTCGCCTCCCCCCGCATCGAGTCCGCATCCTAAATTTTAGGACACTTGGAAGATGATGCGCATAGAATTAGAGCTAGGTGGGCGAAGTGGAGATGCTCATCCAGAGTTTTATGTGATCGCCACATACCAATGAAACTAAAGGGGAGTTTTATAAAACCACTATAAGACCAACCATGCTTATGGGACGGAACGTTGGGAGGTCAAGAAACAACATATTCATAGGATTAGTTTAGCTCAGCTGAAGATATTGAAATGGATGTGTGGCAAGATAAGAAAGGATAAAATTTTGAATAAATACATATGAGTGAACTTAGAGGTGTAGATGATAGGATGAGGGAAAGTAGACTTAAGTGGGTTGGCCATATGTAGGGTAGGTCTAATGCAACACCGGTTAAGAGAGATGAATTGGTTAAAGTGGAAGGTTCTAAAAGAGCAAGGGTAAGGCCCAAAAGGACATGGATAAAAGTAGTGAGAAGAGATATGGTGACTTATAGTCTGCTTGAGGGTACGACCCTTGATAGAGTAGAATGACGGAACAAAATTCATGTAGCCAATCGCAAATAGTTAGGATAAGGCTTGAATGATGATTATTATAACAAATATATTTATTATACTTAAAAATAAATTGACTCAAATAAACTTTGGCAATAATAACTCATTTATATACTTGTGTCTTCTCATATATAAGTTCTTTTTAATAATATATTAAAGATACTTGCTTGATCATGTATTACAAATGATAGGAAAGTATATCAAATGAGAAATGAGTCCTGCCCTTTATTCCACATACCTCTCTACTTTTTTTAGAAAAAGAAGGCAAATTTATCAAAATGCACCTAAGTTTTCAATAATTTAACAGTTGCCCCTATTCAACTATTCCTACAATTGGTGATGAGTTTTTTGATGGGTATTGTGAAAGCAAATCAAAAGATATGGGTAACTTGTTGAATAGTTGATCTCTTATGTGCATTTGGATAAATTTCCCATAAAAGAAGAGCATGAAGTTGAGGGCATGTGCACACACACATCTATGTATAATGTGTGTTTGTGTGGAGAGAGAGAGAGAGAGAGAGAGAGAGAGAGAGAGAGAGAGAGAGATATCTATTCTCTCTTGTACTAAGTTAAAGTTAAAGTAAATAGTAGTACGGTACTAAACTACCATAATTATTGTAGTACTAAAGTTACACTAAC